GAAAGGGTTCAGAAAAGGGCAACTAAAATGATTAGGGGTTTGGAACAGGTCCCATATGAAGAGAGGTTAAAACAACTGGGACATTTCAGTTTAGAAAAGAGGACACTGAGGGGGGATATGACAGAGCTATATGAAAACATGAGTGGTGTGGAGAGGGTGGATAAAGAAAAGTTATTTATTAGTTCCCATAATAGAAGAACTAGAGGACACCAAATGAAATTAATGGGTAGCAGGTTTAAAACTAATAAAGTTCTTCTTCACACAGCATGTAGTCATCCTGTGGAACTCCTTGCCAGAGGAGGCTGTGAAGGCTAGGACTATTACAGAGTTTAAAGAGAAGCTAGATCATTTCATGGAGGTTATGTCCATAAAAGGCTATTAGCCAGGGGATAGAAATGGTGTCCCTGGCCTCTGTTTGTCAGAGGCTGGAGAAGGATGGCAGAAGACAAATCGCTTGATCATTGTCTTCGGTCCACCCTCTCTGGGTCTCCTGGTGCTGGCCACTGTCGGCAGACAGACTACTGGGCTAGATGGACCTTTGGTCTGACCCAGTATGGCCGTTCTTATGTTCTTATGTTTGGAGTCATAACATGATCTCATCAGTATCTTGGGACTTATTAACTTATTGTACTACTACTTCTTTACAGTTTTTCAAGTGACTATGTTAGAAAGAAGTTATTGTTCTGTATTAGGATCAGTTCATGTTGGTCAGCCCAAATTTAATTGTCTTCCAAAATTTCCATAAAACAAGGTATTCTTGACCTGACCATTGGTCCTTTCAATCATCCATTTGGCTCTTGTCAGTTACAAACACGTGGGTTTTCCTAAAGAAAGAAACTGATGACGCATTTAATTGCCTTTTGTCAAATTCTTTACTAGAGAAAAGGATCTCCTTCTAACCACTCCCCAGTGATCACTTGGAAGCTTGTGATTTGATTATCTCTCATGCCAAAGCTACAAATGTTATTAGTGGCCTTCAAACATACATAGCTGTTCTTAATATCCAGTTACAGTACTTGAGTCAGTGTTTTTGGTACTGAATAGCATCAGCTGACTTTAACAAAAGTATTAGCATTTTATTAATAAATTTGCATGTAATTTCATGGAGTCTCCTGTTCATGTTTTAAGGAACAGGTTGGAAAATTGTCTTGTATGTCTGCCATATTATTCAATAGCACAGTAAAATCTCATCTAGTTCTTCTTTGAAGGCTAAATAATCCTAGTTTTTGAATCTTGCCACACAGTTGGCTGTTTTAGTTGACCTTTAATTGGATATTTTCTGTCTCCACTATTCCTTATTAAATTGCAATTTTTCTACTCTGAAAAGTGACTATTGTAAAAATGGCACCACTATACTTACTCCCTATGTTCATTCAGAATTGTATCTTTTGGTTTTAGTGACAGATGAAGTTTTAATACCTTTGTAACATGACAAGGAAATCCAGTAGGGAATAAGCAGTTGTATTTTATTGTTTGCATCATCTACAAGATTATTTGCCAAATTCCCATCGCACTAAAGAAATCTCACTGAAGATAATGGGGCTTGCACGCATGTATGTGAGATCCTAATTTGGCCTATAGGGCCGTTAGTACTCTTGATCATATGCGAGATGAGGGGGAAAAAGCTTGATTCTTAAAATAATGTCACCACTGCAGTTACCCACCTGCAGCTGGCCCCTGGAAGCTGAGCCTGGCTTGCAGGGCTTGGGATAAGGGACTGTTTAATCGCAGTGTAGATGTTTGGGCTCTAGGAGTGGAGCCTACTCTTCAACCTGAGCCCAAACGCCTATGTTACAACTAAACAATAGCCTGAGTCCTGTGAGCCTGAGTCATTTGTCATGGGCCAGCCATGGGTTTTTAATTGTAGTATAGACATAACCTTAGATCTTAGTTAAATTTGCAGAGCTGCCAGCTAGAAACGATGTCTGCTGAGTATGTTATATGGAATTGCTGAACGATCATAAATTGGATTTCCACAGTGCAGTTTATACAAGGTTTTTCTTCAGAGTGGAACTGTACTTTAAAGCAAAGATTACCAAGACTGGTTGTCCTGATGTGGATACAGCAATCAATTTTGTTTCTTCTGTATTTTTTTAATTCACTTGGGCATTCTATTTTTAAACTCTTTGCTGTAGACTGGACCAGCAACTTCATTTAGTGATCCACAGTGACTTATGTCACTGTCCACAAAAGAATATTGTGCGATCAGAACCCAGGAACCTACATGAGAAGCTGAGACTACTTTGGTCCATTGTGCAAGTTAATCTGCTTTCGCTAACCAAACACAGTATCGATACCAGCAAAATTTACCAATGTCTATTCCACTTCTGCAGATCATTTAATAGCAGAAAACACCTATGCTAACCTAGTATACTATGCTGATAATTTTTGTAGATTCACTGACACACACACATTCACTATGGGCTTCTCTAATTGCTTGAGTAATTTTCTTTGTAACTGTTTATTCAGGCAGTTAAATTTCAGATCATTGGCATGTCGATATTAGGAACAGAGCAATAACCATTATAACAGTGAGCTTATTTTTTGTTTAGAGAACATTATGCAGTAATATAATTATCTGTCTTACTGTAGTAGGATTATTTATATTACTATAGTGCCTAGTTTCCTAGCCATAGATCAAGACCCCATTGTGTTAGGAAGTGTACAGGATGAACCTCTTTATACCATTCAGGGTGTGATTTTTCTGGTGATATTTATTAAATTACTGGTCCTACTTATATCTGTAAAACCAAGTATGTCTTTTAAAGCTATCAGGCAATTTTTAACTCAGAGTAAGTTGTTTCCATGCTTGTAGCAATTACAGTACTATTTTGCTTAATATATTGTCTTAATGGAACCTTACTCAAAATGTCCAAATGGTTAAAATATGGGGAACTCGTGGACTTTCAAAAGGTTGTTTTGAGAGAGATTTTCTTTTCTGGGACACTTGAGTAAAAAACATGCAGTTTTAATATCCGGATGTCCTTACCTATGTTATGTTAGCTTACTAACTAGCATTTAAATATTGTGTTTAGTTCTTGGTTATTTTGCATTTCCTTCAGTTGGGGCAGTAAAACAGTAGTCATTTCCATTGTCTGTTTTTTATGCAATAAGCTGCAGTGCTTCAGTGCCTGGATTTAAAGAATCCCCTTGCAGCAGCACGACGCTAAAAACTTTTTATTTCTATTATGTTTTGTAAAATGCTTTCTAAAGAAAAAAACCCACAATAAAATAAATGTCTAAACTTGAATTTTATGTTTAAACTATGTGAGTGCTTCCCTTTAAGAAGAGCTGTGAGTGGCTCGAAATTTGTGTCTCTTACCAACAGTAGTCAGTCCAATAAAACATATTACCTCACCCACATTGTCTCTTTTTAAGAAGTCATGTTTGTTTGACCCTATCATGTCTAATTATTCAAGTACTGCAATTAATTAGCCTCCAAGTCCCATTTTACAATTAAGATGAAGTGTAGTGGGCATCCTATTCCTAAGCTCTCTCTCGGCTCCTTTCTTTAAAAGATAAACATACTAAATTTTCCGGTATTCCAGAGTAGTTGCCATTTTAAGGCT